GGGGCCATTAATCAACCCAGGACCACACACACGAGAATATGTCAGTTGTATAAAAAATTATACTGCTAAAATACCTCTCAAAAGGTTACAATGATTTTCATTTCCACCAAAATGATACTAAAGTGCTCTTTCCCCTGATTCTTGCCAACTTTTAAAACTTCAGGCTAAATCTATGTGTTAGATAAAAAAATAATGCAATACTGTTTCTACTGCATCTCCCTGACCTTTCTAGTAAGGTTAATCCTGTATTTACGGTCTTCTTTTGAGAACCTCCTATTCTTAAATTTTGTCATTTTCTACGCGCTGATGTGTCATTTTCTTCTCAATCTTTTAAGAATTCTTCACAGCCTGGATATTAATATTTTATAATATATGTTGCCACAATTTCCAAGCCTGTCACTTATTCAACCTCATCTTTTACTGCATAACATTTAAAAGTATTTATTTAATCAAATTTACCAAGTTATTCTTTTACGGTCCTGGGCTTTTAACATTTTTAGATTTTTAAGCAGGACAAATATGGACAGATGAGTAACGGACAGCACATTCTACTCTGTCTGCAAATAAATGCCTTATGAATGAGAAAATATTTGAGGAGCCAGAGGAGGCTTAAATTAGGTGTTCTAAGACGCAATTTCCAACAAGCAATTCTCAGAACGTCAGCCATTCATTCAACGCAACTGAATATAGCTCAATATAATCAACTCTGACACTACTCAGACACAGCATCAGATTCCACAGGCTGAGGACTCAGTCCTACTGGACTGCAAACCACCCCGAACCCACCCCCAACTTCGGACATCGTCAGCCCAGTTGGCTGTGCTTCTGACCCACTGGCTATGCACTGGAGGGTCCCACGAGCCCCTCTCCTTAGGTACAATTATTGTGCCAGCTCACAGAACTCAAACGAAACACGTTATTAACAGTAAAAGGATGTAACTCACAAACAGCCAAATGGATGAGGTGCAGAGGGCAAGGTATGGGGATGGGCCGCAGAGTTTCCCTGCCTCTGCCCTCTCTAGGAGCGCCACCCTCCTAGCATCTCCACGTGTTCAACAACCAGGAAGCTCTCTGAACCCCGTCCTTTTGAGTTTTTATGTAGGCTACGTTTTTTGGACAAGAACTATTAAATTGAAGCTGGCAATTGCTTCAACCTCCCTGGAGGTCAGGGGTGGGACTAAAAGTGCCAACCCTCTAATCACTGCTTAGAGGCCAGCAGCCCCCATCCATAGGTGCATTCCAGAACCTCATTAACATAACAAAAGACAACTTTATCCCCCTCCAAAGGCTTAAGAAATGCTAAGGGTTTTGGAAGCGGTGAGAGGGGGGCTGTGGATGAAGACAAAACATACACGTCTCATAAATCACAATATCACAATGCTGTAGACCCAACGTGAAAATACGGAGAAGAGGAACAGCAAAGTTGGAGGAGGTATGAGTGATTTCATTAATAGTCCAACAACTCCTGATGCACAACAATGCCTTAGGCACTGAAAGAGAAGAAATGTAAGACAGACACATTCTCTGCCCTCCAGAAGTTTACAATTTGGACACAAGCAAAAACCTTTTAAGCAGTGGTTAAGCAACTACAAATGAAAAAAAAAATTAGCAAACCAATGAAATCCGTGTAGTTGACAATACGAAGGGAAATAAGAATTCTGATGGGTCTCAGATGGTGAGTACCAATCAGGATTCAAAAAAAATTTTTTAAACATTTATCAAACTAAAATAAACATAAGAAAAGTGCACTATCATAATCAAACAACTCAATCAACTGTGGCAAGTAAAGTCATCCACATAACCAGCACTCATAAGTCCGAGATGGCACCCTAGAAGCCCCTCCTACTTTGCTCCTACTTTCCCTTCGCACTTCCTTCCTTCACTCCCCAAAAGGTCAGACTGGTTTTGTCTAATTTTGTACTTTGTGTAAAGAGAATAAGACACTAGGTACTTTTTTTCCCCCCAAAAAACCTGTCTGTGACATTCATCAAAAGTTTTGCATATAGTTAGAGACTGTTCTTTTCCGTTACCATACGGTATTCCATTGTGTGAATATTTTAATACACCACTTATCGATTATACCAGTGATGGGTAGTTTCTGTGGTGCCTACATCTGGACTCTTGTGAAACACTGCTATGAACATTCTCATGTGCATCCTGTGGTGAACACATTTTCACTTCTGTGGGCTGTGTACTAGGGAACACAAGCCCCGTGTCAGGGACCACACAGATGTGCAGCGCTATTAAGTACCACCCAACAGTTTCCAAAGGATGGGCACAACCCCTCCAGCACTGTGTGGGAGCTCCAGGTGCACTGCACTTTCCCGACAACTGCTATTCGCCGCCTCTTCCACGTTAGCCATTCTAGTGAATCTGCAGCAAATGCAATTATTATGAATGATATGAGAGTTCAGATAATAGCAAATCCCTCACAACAGAGCAGACTTTAGAAAGAATGCAGGTTTTAATTAAACTAACTGCACACAAAAAAAGAGTTCACTGACTTGCTCAGTCACATACCCAAGGGATAACAAAATGATACATGTAAAGTCCACGTTTAAGAGTGTAAAAGTGGGGCACCTGGGTGGCTCAGTCGGTTAAGTGTCCGACTTCGGCTGAGTTCATGATCTTGCAGTTTGTGAATTCAAGCCCCATGTCGGGCTCTGTGCCGAGCCTGCTTCGGATTCTGTGTCTGCCTCCCTTCTCTACCCCTCCTTGGCTCACAATCTTTCTCAAAATAAACAAATGTTAAAAAAAAAAAAAAAAAGAACATAAAAGCAGCAGTCAATTATTCTATGGCCACTGCTCTTCCACTGGGAGATGAATTAACCAGTTATTTTAACCACTCTCTAAAGTGCATTAAAAAAAGAAAAGAATATGGGTATTAATGGGTATTAGGCTGTTGTAAAAAAACTTACAACAAAATGGTAGAAGACAGTACACATATTTTAAGAGAAGACAATCACGGAGCCAGCAAAGAGTGCTCAAGAGTGGTGAGAAATATGAAGACAAGACAGAAAGTAGAAGACAAGGTGAATAAACGTTCTGGTGACTAAAACCTGTACAAAAGAGTTCTCTCACTAAAATCTTAAGATCCATACTTTTCTATAGTATAGAAGCAATGGCTATTTCAGGAAAATGAAAATCAGTAAATGTTTTATAAAAATAATATAAAATGTTCAGCAAAAATGTACAGAACAGCTTTTCTGTGACTCACTCTGTACAATTTCACATGTGACTATGTGAGATACATCCCCTTAAGAAACTACAGCATAAAATTTAATCAGGACAGGTATTTTCAGTAAACAATAAAACATCAGAATCTATAATAATACTACATCTAATACTTATTTATTTTTATTACAACAATTTTTTTAAGTTTATTTACTTTGAGAAAGACTGAACATGAGCAGGGGTGAGGTAGAGAGAGAGAGAGAGGTGAGAGAGAATCCCAAGCAGGCTCCGTGCTGTCAGTGTGGAGTCTGAAATGGAGCTCGATCCCACAAACCAGGAGATCATGACCCAAGCCGAAATCGAGTCAGATGCTGAACTGAGCCACCCAGACGTCCCTAATACTTAACTTTAAAGGTTTTTTTAAAAAATCCCAGACTCAAACTAGTAAAAAAACCAAAACAAATTACTTCAATTTTTCAGGTGTCTAGCACCGTGACCTCATGTCAGTCCCCAAGCTCCTAGAGGGTGAGCAGCACATCCTGTAATTTATCACAGCCTCTGTCCACAGGCTCAGCAGGACATTCAATAAATCCCACTCAATTCACCAACATGCTTGAATGCGTAACCACTGACCAGTATAGCATATATGCTGCTTCATGCAGCTGGTGAAAAGTGATCGGGTGTTTCCATAAAACAAACCTAGTTCAAAACGCTTAATCATTTTTAAACAACAATCTGTAAACAGGCACAGATTTTAGAAATTGTATAAACACAAGCACTACAAAATTCAAGAACAATAAAGTAGAAAGACATAAACTATGCCTAAGAGCATCTGCTAACAGAGCAAACCTCTTTCTAAACAAACTTTCAGCTTATTATTTCCTTAGAGTTTATCTAGGTTGGGACCTTCGTACACATTTACTCCAACCAATGAAACACATGGTTAATTTATAAATGTTGACTGTTAAGAGCCAACTGAGTGATGACCGTGCTAAAAAAAAAAACCAACTGTGTCATTTCCTGGGAGCTTATCTGCTTCTCTTTTCAAGGTTCGAATCTCTAACATTTATAACTTATATCAATGTTAGGTATGAACAGAGTAAACAATAGGGTATATAAAACTTGTGTGCATTTAGTTGATCGGGTAATATATAAATTTTGAAAATTAATGTAACTGGCCAGAATTGATCAAGCTTAAGAAGCATCATAAAAAGGACTGGAGTGCTAGTAAGAGGTCTAAGAAACCATTAAGGAAAGGCTCATGAAACATGAAACGTTAAGAGGGAAAACCACAGGAAGACTGAAATGAAACTTTGTGACGGAAGAGAATTCACTAAGAAGAAAAAAAGAAATGGCTGGGAATGAAAAATAGAGCAAACGCTACCAAACTAACCAAACATAAACACCACATACAAAGCATCCACAGGCAGTCATCAACGTGGAGGCGCAGAACACAATATGCGGCTATAACTGCCAATCTCTAATCCCAGACAACTGCCAACTGTTCTCTCGAGAGATTAACGATCAGGCTACTTTTTATTTCATTTTTTTAAGTAATCTCTACCCCCACCATGGGGCTCAAACTCATGACCCCAAGGATCCAGAGTCGCACGATCCACCTACTGCCAGCCAGGGGCCCCCATGACTAGACCTCTCAAGTTCTGTGCTGGAACAGAATAGGAGGGCAGCATTGCAAGCAAAAACATGGCTGAACAAAACGTGGTAAGAGTTTACGAATAAATACTGCGATTTGCTAGTCCAACACATGTTATGCCAAGTACAACTAGCTAGTCATACTAAAAATAAAATGCTAAAAACTCACTCACTGTCTTCTGTGGGAAGGACCTGCAGGGAGTAAATCCACTCTATTATATCATCTTTGTTCACCACATCTAAGGAGTCCAACATATCCAGCCCGGAGAGAGCAAAAAATGCAATTGTCAACCTAAAAGAAAAAAAAACAAAGAAACAAACGTAAAATTACATCATAACTGTCTAAACACTGAAGTTTTTCTTGTTCAGAAAAATAAAGTCTTTCTAATTTTAAAATTAATTCAAACAGTACTCTCATTCTGCAAAAGCCAAAAAGTCATATTTATTCTTATAATTTAAAAATATCAATCAAATCTTTGTTTCATTTGTAAAAAGGAGCGTTTGGGGGTAAAAAAAAAAACAGTCATACACATTTGAAACTCATCAGCAACCTGAAGGCTAATGTAGGTAAAAAAGGAATTCCCTGCACCCAATTAGTACAAGTAAGTCCCAAAGGCTGGAAAACAGAGAATACCAATTTCCACTTACTTGCCAAGAACAGCTACACTTATAGTGGGTGCTTAATTCTTAAGGAAGGTTAGAATAAACCCATCTGTATTCAAATTTGTTGACAAATAATGTAACTGGACAAAACTTAAACTGAATTTTGGGAAATAAGGAACACTTTAAAAAATACATATGCATTTCAACTTCATTTTCCCAGAGAGGATTCTTCAATGGAATGAAAAACTGTAAGGCAACATATTCCCTTCCAAGACTGCATACTAAATGAGAAATGTAAACTCTGTGTTTTCATTTAAAACTAGTACTTAAGTGATTACTTTTTACATAAAGAGTTTGTTATATATAATTCTTTTCAGGCTGAGATACATTCTATACTGTTTTCTGAACATGGTTATCTTTTTTTTTAATTTAAGTAATCTCTACACCCCACATGGGGCTTGAACTCACAGCCCTGGGATCAAGAGTTGCATGCTCTATATTGACTGAGCCAGCCAGGCACCCCTGAACATGGTTATCACATTTCTATATTCTAACAGTTCCTATGACTAATACTAAACAATTAATACTTTAAATCATCTGGTCCAAAATCTTACAGCAAAGCCACTTGACACATTCTGCAACCTTTTCAAAAAAGATTGCAAGAGAAATAAGTCCTAATGCTCTCATTGTGTATAATAAATTAACTTCTTTCTCATGCATCTAAAAAAATATTACCAACTTAAGAAAAATGAGAAAACAGTCACTCTTTCTTTAAATTTTTTTTTAACCATGTAATTCTCTCTCTGACCCCTGGTTGAAAAAGGCTAGCATACATTAGATGACAGGAGGAAACACACCAAAGAGTAATTCCAACCAGAGCTTAAGGGCAAAACCTAAAACTGATAAGACATTGTTACACTTAAGAACAAAGATTTTGGGAAAGTTACATTATTGAGAGACTATTACTGTGTATTAGACAGGGAGCTAGAAAATTTCTCATATGCTGTATCTCAATTTAATTCTAACAAACCACCGAGAGCCACCAGAATTACGCAGGTGATTTATCTGAGCAAGATCAGGATTAAATTAAGGACGGTGGAACCCCTTTATGTGGGAGGCTACAGTTCAGAGTTCAGATTCTGCTGTCAAATGAGCTAGGTTCAAATCATATGTTGGCTGATTTACAGCCATTCATAACCTGGGCAGGATCTTTTCTGCCTTTTCTAAGTCTGCTTATCTATGAATCCTCATCACACCTCACACAGGTATTCACTACCTGCCCACACGCAAGCACTCACCCAAGGAGGCTATCATTACTGGTATTTTCCCTGATTTGACATGAGTTAGTGACCTCAGAATCTAATCACACTGTTACACTATAGGCCTTATCTCCAGGTCCCTGGTTGGCAACCTTCCTCCCCACAGAGAGCCCTGCCCTTCCCCAAAACAAAATGATACTTTAGATATGGGAAAGACCTCAAGCTAACAGCAGCCAAGTTTGAGAATCACTGTTCATAATTATGTCTCATGAGATAAGGTCTGCCTTGTGCAGGATATGTACTCACTTATTGAATTAACTAACAAATGAAAGACCTGTAATATTTCATCTAACCAACCTAGAGCACTCTCCCAGGGGTTTTCAGTGTTGGTGTAAATGATCACAGTCAGATACAATGAAATTATCTAATAATCTAGTTTATTAAGGTATTATAGAAAAAAAAGGAGGACAGAGGTGGAAATGGGGACAACATGAGGTTGTTGATAACACAGCCTACTAAGGCTGGATAAATCAAAAATATTCCTGTTAATGAAAAGTATGTAATAAGAAAACATCTAGGGGCGCCTGCGTGGCTCAATCGGTTAAGCGTCCAATTCTTTTTTTTTTTTTTAATTTTTTTTTCAACGTTTATTTATTTTTTGGGGGGACAGAGAGAGACAGAGCATGAACAGGGGAGGGGCAGAGAGAGAGGGAGACACAGAATCGGAAACAGGCTCCAGGCTCTGAGCCATCAGCCCAGAGCCTGACGCGGGGCTCAAACTCACGGACCGCGAGATCGTGACCTGGCTGAAGTCGGACGCTTAACCGACTACGCCACCCAGGCGCCCCATTAAGCGTCCAATTCTTGATCTTGACTCAGGTCTTGATCTCAGGGTCATGAGTTCAAGTCCCAAGATGGGCTCCACACTAGGCATGAAGGTTGCTTAAAAAAAAAATAAAAGAAGAAAACAACTAAAAGTCTATAAAAATAAACTGGTATTCTTTTCTAAGTTAAGTACTCTCTTAAATTTTTTAGCTCAAGATCATGAAGTCCAAAGAAGTCAAGTAATTTGCTTCAGATTTCACTGCTAGATAACCAATTAAACTATTTAGGAACACTGAGTCACACGGTGGTATTCTCCTCAGGGGTGTTTCTCAAACCTGCCTGCACATTCAAATCAGCTTAAAAAACAAAACTAGGGGCACCTGGTGGCTCAGTTAAGCGTCTGGCTCTAGGTTTCAGCTCAGGTCATGATCCATGGCTTTGTGGGTTTGACCCTGCATAGGGCTCTGCGCTGGCAGTGTGGAGCCTGCTTAGGATATTCTCTATCTGCCCCTCCCCTATTCACGCTATCTCCCTCAAGATAAAAAAACTTAAAAACAAAACAAAAAACTAAAACACTGATATAACACAGAGAGGTCTAGATCTTATTCCACGACAATGAAACTGAAATTCCGGGTGGAAAGTGGGGTCTGGGTAACTTGAATTTGGGGGCCAGGGGCACAGGTGTGGGGAACTTCCCAGGTGAGTGTAATATGCAGCCAGGATCAGGAGCCCAGCTCCAGAGCAGTAATCCCCACTGGGGCAATAATGTCCCCAGGGGACACTGTAAAGATATTTTGGGTTGTCATGGGAGGAGGGTACCACTGGCATCTAGCTGGTAAACGCCAGGAATGCCGCTAAACATCCCTTCTACGACGCGCAGGACAGTGCCATTCAACAAAATGTCAACAGTGCTGAGGTTAAGTAACCCTGCTCCAAAGTCACACTGTTCCTGTGTTATCTGATCTGCTTTTCATTTTACTTGCTTCTGAAGATGGATGCGAACACTGAAAATTAGTCAGCTGCTGGTAAACTACTTTACTTCAGAGAGTCCAGTATTTGCAACTCCCAGCAGTTGAGACTAAGGTTTATAGGATTAACACAGCCACAGTGAAAAGCTTATGTTGATAAAGAGAGGCACCCAGCAGCGGCTGGCAGAACCAAGAAGTCCACTGGGAGCAATGTCTGGCCTCCCTCTGAGACAGGCTAGGAAGATAGTCCTTTCTGACCACACCTGAGTTCTCAAGCAGTCCTACAACTGTGAGACGGGGAGAATAAGCAGCCATAATAAAAAACGATTTGGGGATGTGGGCCTCTGAGAGAACTAAGGGGGGGGGGTGTCTTAAGGTGCCCCAGTGAGTCCTACTTGGGGTATGTATGGACTGTTGGGCAACCTACCTTGGGCACGTGGCTGGGGCGGGGGGCGGGGGGGAATCATGCCAAGACATGTGCCTAAAATCAGGCCAGTGTAGGTATTAGAATGTTGTTACTTGGGACAGCATTTGTGTTCTTTCTTCTTTCCCTAGAATTGAACTCTGAAACTATATGCTGAAAAAAAAGCAAAGTAGGCCAGCTGCACCTTCCTGCCCTTTGTTCCCTCTGAACAATACTTGTGCAAAGGGTATCTCGCCATGGATGAAGAAGTAACATTCGTCCCCTCTAAATCAAGCTGCTGCACCAGGGGATCGATTCACAGATGGGAGGCATCAACTGAATGAGATCTCCAAAAGATGCCAAATTTTTCAGGCTTAACAACAAAATTTTCAGGTCTTAAAAAAACAGCCCAAAAAATGCCCCATGGATTAAACAGGAAAAAATAAATAAAAACAATCTGAGTGTGGGGGAAAAAAAAAACAACCACAGTAATACGATTTTCTTGTGCCACTAAATGAGAATGAGGAGTGTACTGTTAGGCTGGAGCAGATTACGTGACCATTTGGGAATATACTGGAAACACTGATTCATGGGCACTGACTAGATTCCTAAACTTTGGATCACCTACTCTGCCCCCTTTCTAATACAGTCTCTTTCCTGGCATCTCCAAGTGTCTTTAACAAGTGACTGCATTCCTGCCTAGATCTCAGGTGGGGCTATAACTAAATCATACTGCAAAGAGTTCTAAAATTATAAACAAGCAGCTATATTTAGAAATAGGAGGGGCGCCTGGGTGGCGCAGTCGGTTAGGCGGCCGACTTCAGCCAGGTCACGATCTCGCAGTCCGGGAGTTCGAGCCCCGCGTCAGGCTCTGGGCTGATGGCTCAGAGCCTGGAGCCTGTTTCCGATTCTGTGTCTCCCTCTCTCTCTGCCCCTCCCCCGTTCATGCTCTGTCTCTCTCTGTCCCAAAAATAAAATAAATGAACGTTGAAAAAAAAATTAAAAAAAAAATAGAAATAGGAACACAGTTGCTTGATAAAATTGCTAACAGTGGAAATGAGAACCTTAGAGAACACGTGAAAATTAATCATAAAGTTAAATACACAGCACACAGAGGTCCCAATAAATACTCTGGAATGACCTACTGCAACACTGCAGAAATGCCACAATTTTAAGCCTTACTCTTGATCTGTAATATTCTTAAATAGCTGGCCCGACTGGTAAATATTTTTAAGTATAACCGCTCATCTCTGGAATTATTTACATGCAAAATAATTTTTCAAGAAGAAATGTTTACTAAACATCTACTACATGCTGGATTTCATGACAAAAACAAAACAAGCCTCCTAACCTGAACCAGGTTAAATTATGAGGGGAAACAACTCAGTACCTATAGGAAAAGTGCTGTCACAGAAATCATCTTCTTCCTCTCTAAACCTGCTCCTTTGGCCTCATGCTCCCGAGACCAGATGGCAGTTCCAGTCCCAGAATCCTGGAACTCCTTTTTCCTCCACCCCTCCTTTGTATCCCTCCTTCCACTGCCCCAGCATCTGGCCTCCGGACTAGTGCGACAGCTAACTGGTCTTTCTGGCTCTGATCTTGTCCCACTGACTACAACAACCAATTTCAAATTCAACGACCACTCTAAAACGCATATCTAATCAGGAAGATGCACTGCTTGCGACTTCACATCACTTATGTGACATCAAATTCAGCTTTCCTGACCTGGCACACAAAGCCCTCTGTGATCTGGCCCCTGTCTATCCCCCAGGCTAAATTCCTACCACACCTGCCTTACACTATTAGACAAATGATTGAAGTTTCTCTGCTCAACACTCACTTATCCGCCTTTTTTGTCCACTTGCCTATAACGGATCCCAGACTTCCCCCAAACTGAGTATTTATTTAGCTCCAGGGTTACTTCTTCCAAGAAGCCATCTCTGAGATGTGTGTCTCTTCAGGTTGGGCTAAGGGGCTTCCGTAACACCCTGCAAATACCACAATCACTGGCAACCAAACTCAAGTGCGGTGAGGCGATCAGCAAGATCAGCATCATCTGGGATCTTGTCAGAACACAGTAACTTAGACCCTTCCCACACCTCCGCAATCAGAATCTGCATTTTAACAAGATCCCCAGGTGATCTATATGCACAAAAGGGTTGGGAGGCACTGTTAGAAGAATCCGTTTGTAGATCTGTTTCTCCTATCAAGTGAACAGTCTCCAACTTTAGCGTGCAGGGATGCTTGTCGTAATGCACACTCTCGGGCTCACACAGAGTTCCATGCGGAACTGGGGAGGGGTCCAGGTATGTGTATTTTTATAAGCATTTTATTTTATTTTTTTTATTTTTATTTAAAAAAAATTTTTTATAATGTTTGTATTTATTTTTGCGACAGAGACAGAGCATGAGCAGGGGAGGGTAAGAGAGAGAGGGAGACACAGAATCGGAAGCAGGCTCCAGGCTCTGAGCTGTCAGCACAGAGCCCGATGCGGGGCTCGAACCCACAGACTGTGAGATCATGACCTGAGCCAAAGTCGGACGCTTAACCCACTGAGCCACCCAGGCGCCCCTATAAGCATTTTATGATGTCACTAATGCAGAGCCTTCTGCCACGGTCATCACACTGAGAGATACGCTGCTGGACTGTGATTTATTTCAGATAAGGGAGGGAAGGAGAAGGCAGAGTGGTTGCTACATGGTAGTCAGCTACATCACAGGCTCCGTAGGGGAATATGGAAGGACCCGTGAACAGAAAGACTAGGTTGATTGTGGGGTCTTCTAAAATAAAAACCAAATGACTAAACCCTTCCTGGAGAGCAGCTGGGTCCATAAAAACAACATACACAAAAAATGGTCAGTATTTAGTCCTTTAAAAAAAAAAACAAAACAAACCTACCCTACCCTAACTTCCGTTAGCCAAATACAATTGGCAACAGCAACTCCCAACCAAACAACTTTCTAAACCACTTACAAAAAAGAAACCTGTTAATGCACAAAGCTCACCATCCAAGGTTAAATATTCAGCTGAGTTAACTAATAACTACCACCTTTCAGAAATTCGTATGAAAAAAAGCCACAGGTAAAACTACAAGTACTTTATTTTCATAAAGGCACAGCTATTAGAAAAATTAAAATGTAGTCCTATTTCTAAGATTAAAAAGGGAAATGAAGGAATTTTGCCAAAATGGTGGGTCAGAAAATAAGTGTCTAAATGTCTAGCCTGTTCGGAGCCTTCCAAAGAGTCCCGTTTCATACCTATCAGTAAGAAGGAACACAGGACCACCACAAGCACTGGTTTCGGACTGTATGCCTGTACCCAGACACACAGCAGGCACTCAATAATTGTTTGTACAACAGCAATACTGAGTAAGAACTGTGACCTAGCCAACACATTGTTTTACCTGAAAACTCTGGTATCAGTAGAAATTTTGTGACCAGTCACCTTTGCTTAAGAGGTCAGAGACCCTTCACAAGCATCTTCAAGTCAATCATGAATCACACACACCTACCACAGAAGAACTTAATGCTAAACCAGGAGTGTAAATCAGCAAAGAGAAAAACTGAAAAACTGTTAAAAAATCAACACAAAAACTTCTACGTACAGATGATCTTCAATGTGGCTACTAAGTGTGCTGTAACAAAACAAGAAATGATACTCTACTCAAATGATAAACATTAGACATATTAACTAATGCTCCAGGACGTTATACATGATTATCTAATATATGATGCCTGGCGTAGATTCTAAGATTGTATTAAAGTTGTTAAATCAGTTCAATCAGTTTTTGCAGTTTTACTTTTTCTATGAGCACCATTACACAGTTTACCAACATACACTAGTATATATATATGGTTTTGTCCATGCTGGAATTTTAAATAGAGCAATCAAACACTGGCATTTAGAAAATGCAACCACAGACCTAAAATGATAGCTACAACTTTAACAGTCACAATACAGGTTTTTTATCCAAATGCTTCAAATTCACATAAAAAAATTTTTTTTCACTTTTTTAACGTTTGTTTATTTTTGAGAAACAGAGCGGTACTGGGGGAGGGGCAGAGAGAGGAGACACAGAATCAAAAGCAGGCTCCAGGCTCTCGACTGTCAGCACAGAGCCCCACGTGGTGTTTGAACCCATGAATCATGAGATTATGACCTGAACCCAAGTCGGACACTTAATGGACTGAGCCAGGCAGGCGACCCCCAATTTCACGTCAAATTAATCCCCCTAAAATGTGATTTATTAATATCTTTTGTTTCATCCCATATCATTCAGTCAATGGAGTCAGTTCTGAAAACCTTAATTTAGGTCCAGGGATGTGCTCTGCTAGCCAATCAACACCTATGTATGGATAAAGGAATATACGTAAGGCTTCACTCTTTCTTTAGCAAGAATGTGTTCGTCCTTCAGGGCTCATCTCGCACAACTCAACAAATGCTTACTTAGTGCCTCTTATACGAAACTGTATGTCTTGCTCAGCTGTACTCCAGTACCTATCATAATAAATTTGTAGACCACGTAGGCAGAAGGAATCTGTAAACCTTCCAAAACTGACCCAGTCATGCAGAGTTCAAAATACACCAGGGAATCAGAATTCAGAACATATGGAGATGAGAGCAGAACCAATCTGCTCTCGTCTTAGCCCGTCCCAGGCAGCTTTGGAGGCTCGCTTCAAAACCCAGCAGTGCAGAGCAAAACCGCCTCCTTCTCCTCGTCCCCAGACTTTTACTCTGAATGACTAATTCACAGCTTCTTAGCCGCAGCCAAATCACACTCCTCAGCCAACTCCAACTCACAAGGCTACAGCAGATACACTTTTCACAGCCTGCTTTACGGAACACTGCACCTCTTCCGCCAACCTTCTCCTATCTTTCTATTTACAATTCCTGGAAAGTTCATTTCTCCTCAAACCTTCACAGGCTTTGCGCCGCTCCTACACCTCAAACACCATACAGATGTTCAGTGCAGAGTTAATAACGTTTTGCAGGAAAGGGGAGCACAGGACAGGCTATCTAAAATACGGAGACAAAATGGTTTGCCTTTTCCCTTTTACACTCGGAAGTAATGAGGCCAAGCGATTCACAGCCTACGAGAGGAAGTAAAAAAGGAAGCTCAGAGGTGACCGGAAAAATGGTTGGGAAGTGAAAAAAGGCGGAAACTGGAGATCCCACAAGGCCTAGCCTTACGGCTCCCCCAGTCCCCCCGCCGTAGCTCGCGGGAGGAGAGCCACGGCACACCCGCCCGAGAGGAGAGGCACCGGGCAGTGCCGGGTGGACGGCTGCGCAGGCTCCGCGGCGCCTTTCCGCTGCGGCCGGGCTCCGTCCCCACCCCGATGACCACGGCCACCAATCACCTGCTGGTCTCGAGCGAAGAATAACGCTCAGGCAAGACCTGGAGGCAGCGCTGGAAGAACCGCACGTGCCGGTCTCGCAGGAAATCCAGCCGCTCTCCCTCACCGCTCCCCGCCGGACGCTCGTCCTCCGTGGCCGCCATGCTGCTGCGGAAGCGACGTCCGCCGCGACCCGGAAGCAGTTGGCGAGCGCCGTGAAGGAAGCCCGAGGGGCGACTCGAGGCTGGAGCGTGGGGATGGGGCGAGCGCCGGGGGCGGGGAGCTGACCCGGTCTGTGGTTGAACTTCCTCGCTGTTGACGGGCTTTCGCAGCACTTTAATCCCTGATTTCTCTCTAGACTCAACCTTTTCTCTTCCGAGCCCTAGAGGATTGGGGACCCCCCTTAAGCCTTGTAAAATTCAGCCCACAAATCCTTCCAGAACTTGTATCCTCGATAATTGGGAGGAAGTGCAAGATCCAAAGCTCCTAGTTTGCTTTGAGAAAATCACGGCCCTAAAGGGTGGTATATATGAAAACGGATGGATCAGAATAAATTTGCCAACACACCTTTTTGGAAGGTCACAGTTTTAAACTGAATGGGTAGGGAAACTAAACCTTCAAATCCATCTGTGGAGATAAATGTGTTTTAAATATAGACGCTTCAAAGGTTCAGAGACGTTCCTAGTCCTCTCTAGAATACCAGGAATCACTTTAAAATACACACACACACACACACACACACACACACACACACACACACAAATGCAATATACACAGAAGATACATATTCCTGAGTGTGTGCTTCAAGTCTTTTTTTTTTTTTTTTAATGTTTATTTTTGAGAAAGAAAGGGAGAGCACAAGGAAGGGAGGGGCAGAGAGAGAGGGAGACACAGAATCTGAAGCAGGCTCCAGGCTCTGAGCTGTCAGCACTGAGCCCCTAAGCAGGGCTCAAACTCACAAACGGTGAGATCATGACTTGAACCAAAGTCTGAGGCTTAACGGACTGAGCCATCCAGATGCCTCTCTTTTGCAAGTCTTAAAAAGATTTTACTCTTCATGCTTGAGTCAGTGTGTCATCTAGTAGCAATGTTGCGTCCATTTGCCATAGCACAAAATGTTCAACTACCCGTATGTTACAAAATGAAATAAGATGCTATTTTTTTTTTTTAAAGAGGATCTTAATTTGCTTCTATCATATATTATTCCCTTTAAAAGTTCATGAGGCAAGGGGCGCCTGGGTGGCTTAGTCGGTTGAGCTTCCGACTTCGGCTCAGGTCATGATCTCATGCTCTGTGAATTCTAGACCCGCGTCTCGCGGTCTGTGAGTTCCAGCGAGTTCCAGCCCCGTCTCAGGCTCTGTGCTGACAGCTCAGAGCCTGGAGCCTGCTTCAGATTCTGTGTCTCCTTCTCTCTGACCCTCCCCTGTTCATGCTCTCTCTCTCTGTCTCAAAAATAAATATTAAATGGGGCGCCTGGGTGGCGCAGTCGGTTAAGTGTCCGACTTCAGCCAGGTCACGATCTCGCGGTCTGTGAGTTCGAGCCCCGCGTCAGGCTCTGGGCTGATGGCTCAGAGCCTGGAGCCTGTTTCTGATTCTGTGCCTCCCTCTCTCTCTGCCCCTCCCCCGTTCATGCTCTCTCTGTCCCAAAAATAAATAAACATTGAAAAAAAAAAAAATTTTTTTTTAAATAAATATTAAAAAAAATAAAAAAAAAAAAGTTCATGAGGCAGTCTTTGGGGGAAAAAAAATCCACCCAAAGGACAGGCCTGAACCCAGGTTCTTTACAGTCAACTAAGCAAGAGAAGTTTGAATATAATTTTGATTGTTCACTTTCTTAGAAAATCTACTACTTAAAATAAGTACTGCGTGGGCAGGAATTGTCTTCTACTTACTCAATAACCCAAAGCACCTAATTTTAGGCCCTGGTAATTACTTATTCACTGACAAACTGCATTAACAAAGGGCTGGGTATGGGCAGAGGGCTGTTCTGGGTGCCTCCTTACAAATAGGCCACGTTGCTTGGTTTCCAGGTATGCCCAGCAGAGAGGAGTTTTCATTTGGTGATTACAGTTGAGATCTTTTTCTCACACTTACAAACATGTCTGAAGATGTTCAAAATGGAGTCATATCACACACATTTAACTAGAACGAACAATGCAGTCTATAAATGCTCTGAAAGATGATCCTACTCAACCGGGCCCTTAATGGGAACCCAAATATTTCATTTGATTCTCAGCTCAAGAACCAGCAATCTCATCCAATTCAGAGAGAGCAGACTCACTGAGAATAATATCATATGCCTACTAGGTACGGAAAGGGCTTTTGAGGGGTGATTTTGACCACACAAGTTGCTGACACATGCATGACAGAATCTAACCCCCATGTAAAATGCTACTTTACATGATTAGGTAAGAAGTATAATTAGCTCAAGTTTTCAAAGTGTAGGAATGATACAACATCTATATAATGGAACATTGTTCAGCCATTAAATAATAATGTTGGAAATATATAGAAACAGAAAAGTATGTGTAACATAATGTTAAGTAATTTAGTATAGTAAATAAAATGTACTCTAGTTATTTTACTTTAGAGTTTATTTTGAGGAGAGAGAAAGAGTGCACACAGCAGAAAGGCAGAGAGAGAGGGAGAGAGAGAATCCCAAGCAGGCTCCATGCTGCCAGCGCAGACCCTGATGCAGGGCTCAAGCTCAGAAAGTGTGAGATCACGACCTGAGCCCAAATCAAGAGTCGGACATTTAACTGACTGAACCACCCAGGTGCCCCTCTTTGTAGCTACTTTAAGATATGCAGGTATATTTTTGGAAAAAGTTACCCTGGAGTGGTAGAATCATGGGTGCTTTATTAATATTTTCCCTTTAGGGTTTTTTCTAAATTTCTTATTCCTATCTTCTTTAAACCAGTATAAGAAATGTTTATTTTGCCCTTCTATGAGCCTGTAACTGAGATATTGTTTATTCTACATCCTTTATATAAAGGAACCATGTAATAAATCCCTCACTTATTTTAGACTCAGAAGCACTGGTTTTGTCAAAGAAAATCCCATATTTTTATTAAGAAACAAACCAAAAAACAGACAAAAAGCCATAAGAATCACAGGACCTGGTATGCTTCCCTTAGATGCAGGAAATGGAGAGCTGCCTTTGTGTGCAACAAAAAGCAACATGTTCAAAAACCATACATAAGAAACCTTCCTTTTGGGTATCTTGTAGTAGTTCCATTCTGTTTTTAAAATCTGTTGTCCACGTCTATATTTTATTTCTAAACTGCCTCCAATCATTTAATAAAAAGAGTTCTAGAGAACAAAGACTACAAATAAAACAGGCATTCCTGATTAAGGATATTTTATGTTATTTCTCTCATTTTGCAGCAATAATTGTGTAATTAGAATTCAGTCTCCAAAATTTGGATGTCATCTACTTTGACTATTAACTGTGAGATAAGACAAGGTTTTGGCCACTATTAATAGTAAATTTCTAGGTCAAATGACCTAGATATGTCAAATTACATTTAAAGATATTCTAAGAGGAGCGCCTGGGTGGCTCAGTCGGTTGAGTGGCTGACTCTTGATTTCAGCTCAGGTCATGATCTCTCGGTTTCGTGTGTTCGAGCCCAGCATTGGGCTCTGCACAGTACAGCGCAGAGCCTACTTGAGATTCTCTATCCCCCTCTCTCTGCCCCTCCCCTACTCACTCTCTGTCTCCCTCAAAATAAATAAATAAACTTAAAAAAAAAAAAGATATTCGAAGAGAAAAATTAAAAGCAATGAGTTTCCTACATTTACCATGGACATGGTACCATTCCTATATGATAGGAACTGATTAAAAGTAGGAACTAAGATTTTATAATATGAAAAGTTGAGTCAAACTAAGTTGTGTTTTCATGCACATAAATTTGGAAATGTTAAAATTCAATCTTTTCACCAAATATTTTGAGCCAAACAGAAGCAGTAAAAAAAACTGCACCAGCCAGGAAGATGTGAAAGACACAAAGGTTTTATAAATGTGTGAAGTCCAGAAAGGCTTTTTTCCCCTTTAGGCAAATTTGGAATAGCTAAAGGAAACCAAAAAGATATTGAGAATACAAATAACGGGTTATATATGAGGGGAGGCATATTTTTTTTTTAATAAATATTCTCTATAAAACAAAGCATGCTTCAAACAAATACAAAATGTTTATTACACAAAAATGTAGTAACTGAACAAACGGCCAATTTGTTAAACTTAGAAAAGTACCAACTTATTTCCAAAAAAAAAAAAAAAGGAAAACCTTTATATTTTTCTTACTTAAGCTGATTCATCTCCAAGTTATAAATGTTACAAAATTTTTGTTTAAAAAAAAATGTTCCCCTATGATTGTCCCAGTTTATTTTGCTATGCCATGACAAAAACAAAGAATCTTTGAAATGTTCCGAGTATTAAAATGAAGCAATGTCTGTAACATCAACTTATTCGGGGAAACTTTTACATCAGTAACAGGCCAGCATACCCATGAAATACCCTCTTAGTATAAACAGGAAATACGACAACGCCGCATGAAACTCAATACCTATCGGTTCACATACAACACAATTATCACTCTGACTGGGTTTAGGGCTATTGAAAGAACATGGTTAGTGACTCTCTCCTGGTATGACTGAGTATGTTGACATTCTCATCAACTGAGTATCAACTTCATTATCTCATATTCTTTTCTCAATTCCTTGTCTCCAGGTTGGGATGGCCCTAAAAAGAAGAAGGGCAATTATAAACACAAAGGAAATTAAAAAAAAAAAAAAAAAATCCTAACTAATTAAATACTAACTTAAAAAAAGTATAAGGATTTACTTGATCAACTTTTTGCTGTAAAATGTAGCATACAGAAATTGCATAAAATATAAACATGTAGTTATCAAATTATTATAAAGGGGACAGCCACTCTCACTCCTTTTTTACCTGTGTGGAATCTGCAGAAGCGGCCCAGAGCCTGTGGGTCCTGTCTTTTTGGTCCTTTCCTCCCAACCTTTGGTAGGTCTGTAAAGCCTAGAGGGATCTCTACTAACGTTGTTTTCAACCTATAATCAGAAATAAAATGAATGCCAGTTGATTTATATAAACTATTTATACAAACTAGTTTGGACTAGTGGATGAGATCCCTAGTAACAGTAA